AAAAAAAAAAAAAAAAAAAAAAAAAAAAAAAAAAAAAAAAAAAAAAAAAAAAAAAAAAAAAAAAAACTCCATAGCTGAAGAGATCATCATCCATCCATGGGAACATGTTTGATTGTTCATGTTCCTCTGTTTTCAACGCAGGAGCCATTAACACAGAAGCATGGAGAGCAGATGGAGTCAGTTTTACATGGCACAAACGTAGCAGGACAGGTAATCGGAGTTGATGACGACAGCTGAATCGCCTCATCCCCGGCGGCGCCCACGGTGGCGGATTGAGCTATAACCACCACCAAAACCACCATTGCCACAAAACCCACCACCCTTTTCGTCTCCATTTCTCTCTTTTACGAGTTTCATTTGCTTTTCCATGGCTTTATTTATAGCAGATTGAAGCCGCCAATCAATGAGTTTCATCCATGTTCATACCCATCTTGTTTGACATTCATAGATCGAGGACAACTTATTTAACATTACCAAATATGACTTTGATTCAATGTACCAACAACTTTCTCCAATAATGTCTCTAAATTATTCAATAATTCTCTAGAGTTTTTGTAATTGTGACACGTATGGAGAGTGTTTTTCGGTACCTGAGTAGGTTTACAAGACAATCGTCTGACCCTACAATATTTGACCGAAACGTTCTCAAAACAAGCCACCGTAACTTATCAGCGCTCCAATTCGCATGTTATTATCAATGCCTACTACAGCTTTCCAGTCTAGTTTTTTCACCTGCAGAATGGAAACAAGATCGATTTACCACATAATATTGAGTTTCGAGATCGACAACCGAACCTCGAATGAGATAGGTTCTTATGAAATGCAGTAGTTTGGGTCGAACAGAATCAGGCAATTCAATTACATTGAGTTGTGACAAACAAGAAGAAGCAGTAGAACAAACAGGAGAGGATGTTTTAGAAGAACACAAGCTACATCATTTCAAATGCTTCAATAACCATATTCACTAAAGACTCAACAAAATCAGATGGCATCTAATTAGTCCATATCCTATGAAGCAAGAAGAGCTTCAACCTTGGCGATTTGGTCCTCTTCGTTCTTCGGGGTTGGACTCCGGTTAGCCTCGTGAAACAGATCGTGCTTCCATTTCTCTACACGGGTACCACCACTGGCTGGATATCCTTGCCTCCCACCAAATCTGTCTCTTCCCCTGTAATTCCCACCACCACCTCCATTGCCATACCTTTCTCTCACCGAGTACCCTCCTCTCTTCATCTCATCCCTTTTGGAAGCCATATCTCCAGTAACGTGCTTACTAAGTTTATCGGAGTAACGGGTGTCACGGCCTCTTTCTTCTCTCCGCTCTCTTCCATCCTGAGGCTGGTGTGGATCACTCGGTTTCTTACTCTCTGATGCCATACCTGCTTTCTCAAAATTTTCATTGTCGGGTGTAATCTTCTTCTCCCTAAATGCAGGCCTTTTCCGAGCAGGAGCTGATGAATCAACCTCCAGTTTTGAGGACCCGTCACGAGTCCTTGTGTGATTATCCTCTTTCACGGTTTGTGGTATCTCATCTCTTCGCTGTGAATTGTAAGTTGCTGTCTTTCCAGATGCCCTGTCACTATTCTTATCCTGTTCCTTTGAATCCTTCCACCAACCCCGCCCTAAAAAGGAAAAAAAAGTTGCTAAATCATGAGAGGAGAAGCAAGAATAAAAAGGTTGAAGAGATGTTAATTTTCCCATGCAAGACACTGTTGTTATATAAGTCTAGAAAAAAGAAACGTGACCTCTAAAAGATTGTATATATAACATTTGGGCAACAGTGAAAAAATAAGAACGCATCCTCCATTTAAGATGAAAGGCAAAAGAACACCATATCAAAACTGCACTAGTTTCTCTCCCTAAATTTAAATTTGACACTAGAATTGTGTTGACATGCCAATGCCTATATTACCACTGATCCATGAGTGCGAGGGAACAAAAGGGTAAATGCATTTACTACAAAAACAACGGTATCTATTTAAGAGGGTCGATATAATAAGAATAATAAAACATGCTTAATTGCTATGATTAGTAATGTTCTGAGGAATATACTAAAACAGTGTTATAATATAAACACAACCGTTGCACAAGAGAAAAAATAAGGAAAAGAACTCAAAATAAGTTGAAATTTGGGCTTAAAAGGGAGTAAAGAAACCCACCACTAGATGAACTTCGACCAAAGCTTCGACCAACTTGCCCGGCACTACCACGTTTGTCGTGCTGTTATAAGACATGCACAGGCAAGCCTAAGAAGTTATATACACGGATGCACTTGAAGGCACAGGGCTGAACAAGATTCCAATTACATCAGCCCGGCAAAAATGTTGGGTAATCTAAATTGCAACAAAGAATAGAAAAGGCAGGAGAAGGGAGGAGAGAGAAATAGAGTATTATTACTTGCTAAGCTATTTAATGTTATTGATATGGATGAGGAAATTCCACAGCTATCTAAATATAAGGTAGCAAAAGAATATATTAATATTTGTTTGACCCGACAAACATCCTTCATAAGCCATAAAAACATGCTACAACATAGTTTTAAAAAGTGTGAAGAGTGTCGCTGAAGTATCTCGCCTTGCACCTTACTGAGGCGACCCACATCAAAGTGCATGCCTTAGGCTTTATTTCATTAAGGAAGAAAATGCTCTGGGGGGTGTCTACCTTAAACAATCTCTTCTAAAAAATCCCTTATTTCACTTCAAAACAACATTGACTGAAGCCAAATTAGAATCATGCTAATTTTATTTTTAAAACTAAATAAGAAAGAAATTATCAAAATTAATGTAGCACAAACCTGAAAATAAGATCGTGATCGTGGTACTTCAGTGGGATTCAATGAACGTTTGGTCCCTCCCTCTCTCTCATCACTGTTCCTGTTTGCTCCTTTGCTAACCCCACCTTCTGGATGAGAATCAAGTGCTAATGAAGACTCATGGGGTGTCGCATCTTGTCCCTCATGTCGCAGCTCATGTTTCTGATCCCGATCTTTATTATCTTCAACATGAGAACTAGAGTTTCTAGATAACTTCTCCTCTAATGGCTTCCTGTCCCTCCTTGACCTCTTTGGACTAGTAACAACAAATAACGTATTTAAGTCATATTAGAGTTCCATGATTAAGTATCAGATGGTACTTACATGCATTAACTTCCGTCCTATTCTTATTGAACTAGGGTTTCCCTTATTCAATCTGCAGTATTATTTTGAATTAAATATGAAGCAAAAAAAAAAAAGGAAAAAAAGAAAAAAAAGAGGAGCTTCAGAGTCCTCACTTTTGACTTGGAAATATTTGTTTTGGCCATTTTGGAACTGGGGAAATTTAATTGGCATGATGCAGGGCTGATAACAACGACATACTACCAACTAGCCATAAAAAACCATGAATTAATTTGAAACTAGAACTAATACACATAAGCAACTACGAGACTGAGCATTGCCAAAGCAATTGTCCGATCATTTCTTTGGTAACAATCAAAATATATGTTCTTGGTAGCTTGGAGCTAGAAATATACATATATGCAAGCAACCTTTTTCTAAGAATACGCAGGTCCTCTCCACTGAATGCTCATTCAATCAACTAAAAGAAACTATAAAAGAAATGTGTGTTCTAAATTGATTGGCAAACTACAATTTTCACTCATACATTCAACATTAAGCATCCAACAATCAACATTCAACCATCAACCACTTCGACTACACATTAGCATACACTTCAGAGTCCAAGCACTTCAAAAGACATGGGAGCACTCGAGCACATAACATGGAAATAAACAAGGTAATATAAAAAAACAATATATAAGGAGCTTTCACCAGTGACCACCAATGTAGATACTTACCCATTCACACCTATGAACTTCACAAGCACAAATGCAGACAAAGGGGCATAGATACAACAAAAGAGATGATACGAACACAGCAACACATTAATTTCTATACGATATGACATGGGCGCATCACATTTTTTCTTATAGAAGATGTGTACATATTGGTATATTTAATATTTCAAACTAGATAAAAACACGAAGTTGACATTCAAAAAAACAAAAATATGTTTCATCAAGAACACAAAAGGCCAGGTCAGTTGACAATAATATATATAGATATATATATACACACACTCTACAATTTGGTGTGTCGGATAAATGTCCATCACATGTCAATACATATCCATGTCAAACATGTGTCCATGCTTCCTATCTAAGAACAAACATTAATCTTTCAAAATACAATTTCCAATCTCACTTTTACAGTTTTGTTTATGAATAACCTCACATCATTAGAGTGAAAAACAATGGAGCATAAAAAAAAGAAATAAGATGAGAACTTGTAGATTATAATTCTCAATCATAAAAAAGAAAAGAAAAAAAAAACTCAAGAATAAATGAACTAGTTCGTCCTTCCATACAAAAGAGATACTGAACTGATACTATTTACAGCTCAAATTTACAAACTTCGTTAAACAAATAAAACCACCTCTCACGTCATTAGTGAGAAAATAGCGGAGCAAGGCTTAAAGACGGTACAACCAACATAAGGAGGGAATGAGTTGATTTCTATTCCATCTTCCAAAAAAAAAGATCTCCAAAATTAATGAACTAGTTCATCCTATCATACACAAGAGCTCCATAAAACCCAATTCCCCGAGACCCATTTAAACATATCATATCAATCGACACTGTAACAATAGACAAATCAAATTGAACAAATTTACGTTCCAAACAAAAATGAAAGAGCCATAATCGAATATGAATAAGAACGCCAAATGCACAGTGTTCCTTCCCATCAAGATACCATCAAACAAACTAAACCACACGCGACGTCACTCAAGCATATTGGGGGAAAATCATGGAAATTCCAGAATCCGAACTGAAGCAGACACAACGACAATCCATTTAAACCGAACAAATTCTTATAGATGAGGAGGAGGGGATGCAATCGGAAAAGGGTATGAGGAGGGTACCTGGGTTCTTTATCGAATCTGGAACGGTAGCGCTTGGAGTCGGATTCCCGAGCTTCACGGCGTGACATTTGCTTTCCCGCTCTTGATTATGTCAAAGAAAATGGAGCAAGAAAGTGAAACACACAGAGAATGGGAAGTTAGGGCTTCGTCTCGCGGGAACCTGGAGAAGTGATGATGATATCGCAAGTAATCCTCAAAATTGCTTTTTTTTTTTTTTTTT